GGTGTTTGGATATTTATTTTTGCGCCACATTCGTACATTTAGAGAAAAAGTATAACTAAATATATATTGAATCAACAGTTTTTGTGAGTTCTACATGATATCACTGTGTTGAAGCATGTGTATGAACTCAGGATATCACAGCGTGATAAAAAAAATCACGTTGTGATATCATCATGACTTCACCAGGAAATCCCGATTGTTGTCCGGGTAGCCAAATATTAAAAATAAATTAAATATTTAACTGTTTTATGGAAATGATTCCAAGACGCTATATAAGGGCGTGAAATCAGAATTTCGTTTGTGTTCTGCACCATACAGCAACTCGATACTGATGAGCTCCAATAGAGCGAAACATCTGTCTATCGATGCTGGAGAGGAACACGAACAAAATTAAACGAAAGCGGTTATGAAATAATTGCTAATTAAATACCTACACACGATATATTCGTAAAATCCATTTAACAAACTGTTATAAAAGATTAAAGTTCTTATAATCCCGTATATGGTCTAATCATTAGACTCTAATGGATTGAATCATATGACATGGGATAGAATGACATAATATGCTATTAAAATATACATTTGTAATACTTTAATTTGCTTTCATCCGTAACTGCTACCGACAATAAGTTTTCACGCAACTGCTAGTAGCAGTCTGCTACCGCAATTGGGCGTTTTAAAATAAGAAATACATCTTTTTTATTAAATTTTTTTTCCATACATCACATTCGTGAAGTTTTCTCCATAATTTTAGCTACACTCTGTATACTTAGTAACACCCAGTATATTTGCAAAATTTGCACACAATTTAAAATTTCAGTAGGCAGTTCCTTGGGTCAAGTCTGACCCCGTCGCAGTTGCGGGTTAAATAATTTCAAAAAATGTATTGATAAAAAATTGTGTAAATTCTTTCTCCTGAACGTTTACATAAACGTTTAAAACATCGCTTAGCATGCGAGAGGTCTATCTATCTTTGTTTTTATAATAAAAAAAATCTAAATACAAAAAACTGGAAAGAAAAGTTGGTCCACCATGGGATTTGGGGAATTAAACGCAAAATAAATCAGAGTTGTTCTTAAAAAAAATAAAATGGTAATTTTTTTTCTAAAGGACTGAAAAATTTGTAGAAAAAAAGGTCTTTATTGGTTAGTTTTTGAATAAGTTTGTCGATTTGGCGTGAAATTCCCCACATGTTTTTTTTAAATATTTGGAATAGTTTTTATTGCGCAGAAAGTCAATTATTTCTTAAATGCAACCCTCAATGGAGATAGGGTCAGTCTTGCCAAAGAGCGGGAGCCCTTTAAGGTTCACGTTTCTTCGGTTGGTAAAGGTACTACTTCTGCCTTATCCGGATTGAGGGATAGTCCGTGATCGTTGCACCACCTTTCGACCTTATTAAGAGCTCTTTGCATAATCTCTTTAATAGTGTTTGGTACCCTTCCGGCTACGACAATGACGAGGTCGTCAGCTGAGTGTATATATCTACCTTCCTCGTTTGGGATACGAAGTAGCCCATCCAGCACTAGGCACCACAGCAAGGGCGATAGTACCCCTCCTTGCGGGCACCCTCTGGCTACGGTTGAGTTGATCTCCGTACTTCCAATAGAGCTTTTAATGATCCTGCTTTCTATTTCTAGCATGACACGGATCCATTTGCCAAGGTTATTCTCTAGGCCAAAGCCCTCTGCAGCTCCATTTATCGACTCAAAGGAGGTGTTGTTGAAAGCGGGTCCCTCTCTCTAGTCTTGTCACAAGGCTGTGAAAAGCGGTCTCCGTCGACATTGCTTATTAGGATGCATGGGCATTCTTTATAGTGCCCCGTTCCTAATAAATATGTAACGAGGATAGACTGATGGGTCTATAATCCTTTGCCGTCTCGTAGTTACAACGTCCTGGCTTGGAGATAAACACCACTCGAACCTTTCGCCAGGTTTTGGCACCTAGCCCCGTGCAAGGCAGGCTCTGAAGAGGCGTATCAAGTGCGGGGTCAGTGGTTCTAGTCCCTTTTGTAAGAGAGCCGGAAAGATGCCATCTAGTCCCGCGCTTTTAAAAGATCCAAATGAGTGTCCCCAGCTCTCGTCCTGGATCGTTTAAGAGAATATTTTGAAGCTTGGCTGCTGCTGGAAGCTCGTCTACGTTACCGCAGAACGTCCTCCGATATTCCCTCTTACACCTTCTTATGAGAACTTTGTACCTGCGCTGAGACTGCTGTGGCGGTTAAAGAGCCTGCGGGTTTCCTTGCAAGCCTTGTCGAGGTCAAAGTTCCACCAAGGGTTTTATTTCGTTCGTACGATGTAATGATTGCATTGCGTACGAATTCGGCTGTTTCCTCCACTATTCGTCAGACACCTTCCAATTTCTTGGATCGTCTATCGAGTCATAGGGCAGATAGGCCGAGCATACCACCAAGGATGTGATGTGTCCTGGTCTGTTCTTAAGGCATAGTTTCACCGCTACTAAGTCCCTAGAACAGAAATTAGCTATTCCTGAGAACTCGATCCGTCTGTCGACGTAGATACAAGCCCTTGGATTTAGTTGGTCATCCCTCTACCTATGCCTCTTACGCGACCCTTGTATGACCAAGGTTCTTGTAGTAGGTATACATAATCCTCTTACGCGACCCTTGTATGACCAAGGTTCTTGTAGTAGGTATACATGTGTCTGCCCCATAGCCAAGTGACGATCTATTAAGAAAATCGCCCCTACGTTTCAAATTGCTTTGTAGAAATAAGTTCTCTTTATCCATGGTAGAGGATAGAGATAGGACCTGATTTCTAGGTTACGGATGGTCCAGCCCTTGTCCCTGGTGGAGTATTCTCTACATCCACATAAGCCATGATCTCGGCCACCTCCTTGTCCAGTGTTGCAGAGTCAGTTGGTGTCGACTCTGTCGGATCTGGTCCGGGCGTAGACGTTCCTTCCGACAAGGGAGTATTGCTACTACCCTCCTCGGCTGGAGCCGTCTCTTTTTCCGGCGCAGCTGGAGCCTTTGCCTTCGTCATGAAAGTGACTGAAGCCTCGTCAACTCCAAAAACCCTGTTCTTCTCCTCTTTTCAATGGTACGTCCTCCACAGATTTGTCCTAAGACCAGGATTCTGTCTGTGAAGTCGCTTAAGGATGGTGGTGGTATCGTCTGGGAGACCCCCCCTTCGACTCAGGGGTGCTTCCCTAAGATCTGAGCCCTTAGGTTTTATAGGTATATCCATATAAATACCACGAGTAGTCTGGAACTAAAGGTCCGCCCACACAGCTTTGGATTGTGTGGTTAAGGCTAAATACAATGGGAGGTCGCCTTCCTGCGGCCATCCAGCCCTCAGCACTGCACAGCATCACCTGTTGCAGGGTGTGTCTCATGACACGTACTGACGGTTTTGGGTAGGTAGAGGTTAGGGGCTTACATCAACCTGTATGGTCTCCGGCTGAGTCACCATTGGTGATTTACTTATCCTACCCCTGGCAATACTTACTATGCCTTGACACCTTAAAAAAAATTACTAAATTTTAAACTAGTTTGAGATTCTCTGCCAGGGCGAAATGTTTCCTGTCTGGGCGGGGCTCTGATTCACCCCCCACCCTGGCTACGGCCCTGGATTGAATGTACTGCCCCTAATATTTTATATGAAATTTTTAGTTTGCCTAAATTGCCTAAATTAAATTTTAAACAGGTTTAAAAAGCGCGCAGTTTAAAAAAATAATGAAAATATTTTTTTAATCATAAAATTGCAATTTTTGTTTATCATAATTTGTAGGAAAATAATTAGGTTATACATGTATTACACATGATGTATGTATTGCTATCAACATGTGACATGGAAAAGTGGAAGATCGGCTTTGCCGAACTCTTACCAATTCAAGGGGCAAGTTGATGAAGGGGTTAAGTAACATTTTTAATAATAAAGGACAAACAATATTATAATTGCAATACCAAATTTATTTTTATTTACCATCACAATATTGTTTGTTCTTTTTCAACTTAAATGATACCTTCAAACAAAAAATAGTAATTACAATTCCTAATTAAGTTTTAATTAGTTACAATATTTTTTGTTTCTACTTCATTACTAAAATTGTTACTTAACCCCTTCATCCAATTGCCCCTTCAATTGCCTTTTAAACATTATTATTATTAATGTAAAATAACAAAAAATAATTGGACTTTATTTTTACATTAAAAAGTAAAAAAATGGTAAAAAATTTAAAATGCTTAATTAAAGTAAATACTTGGTACGGACCAGGGTTGGCAGGTACAGGTTTTTTAGAACCTAGGTTTTTTAGGTTTTTTGAAAAAACCTACTCATTCAAATAACCTTATTTTAGGTTTTTTTATCTTCAAATGACAAAAATCGCTTTTTTGAGATTAACATGTTTTAAAACAAAGATAATAGATTATATTATCTTTGTTTTGTAAAACATGTTTACTAGAATATTGATCAGATATCTGATAATATGATCACTGACTGATGACTGACTGACTGAGAGAGAAATTAAAGTTGAGGTTAACATGTTTTAAAACAAAAATAATAGATTATATTATCTTTGTTTTGTAAAACATGTTTACTAGAATATTGATCAAATATCTGATAATATGATCACTGACTGATCACTGACTGACTGAGAGAGAATTTAAAGTTCCATTGAACTTCAATATTTTATGATTATGTTTATCCATTTTTATTTTTAAATAAATGTTATGTATTTAATAAACACATAATATTAATTTAAAAATGTGTTTAGTACTATTAAGTAACGTTACAAATAAGCAATTTTTAATCATCCAAAATTCCATCTTAAAAAACCATAAAAAACCTTAAAAACTACTATTTATTTTTCCTATTCATAAGTTTTTTCCCTAGTACCCTAGTACGGACACTTAAGCTTCAAATACTGTCCTGTTTAATTTTTCAGTTCACTTTTTAACAATTACGAGCATAGTGCGTGGTTGTCTTTATATTTACTCCGTCTGTTAAATGTTAAGATGAATAGACTAAATAAAAATGGATATTTTTTAGGAATACCAAGAAAAATTAATCAAAGTTTATAAAGTACGTCGCGAATTACACTCCCACATTCAAAACTTGCCCGACCTGACACAGCTCCCAAACGTGGTTGACGGACTGGCACCTTTACCATCAGCAGAAAATCTTTTCTCTATGTAAAGTTTGATCTTCGTTTTATCCCTAATTTTAGCGTGATATGCACATAATTTACTGGTTACGTATTTTATCACGTGTATTTTTGATCTGTTACATTCATAAATTCATTTTCCTATGCAAATAATTTGAGTGTTTTGAAGTTTAGGTGTATTTAGATGAAATTTACTTTATTCAAAGTAAGATTAAATATGATGGTATACTGTAGCAGACTGTAAGATATTCCAGTTTTTAATAAAAAGGGGTTTTGAAAAAGCTTTTTATTATTAAGATACTATATAGGCTGTAAAAATATAAATTATTCATCATTACTGTAAAAAGTAGTGGTTTATCAACATCAACAGTTAATTTATATAATTAACAAATGACATAAACCAAAGGTTCAAGTCTGTTTTTTTATTTGGATCTAACAAATTTAGGAATATATCATAAACTTTTGTATATTATAATTTAAAGCAAAAAATTTTATATTTAAATTTTTTTTTCAAAATATAATTGTGTCATATCCAAATAAAAAAGGACCTCATTTAAACTGTAATTACATAAGTGTTTTGAAAATTGGGTTATCTGCAAAGTTATTCATAATATATACCTGGTGTTGATTTTTTATGTTATACATAAAATTTTATATAAAAGGCAGTAGGAAATAATTGCATATTTTATTAGTTTCTAGTTATATAAATATAAAACAATTTACAATTTTTATTTAAAAATATTAATTTGATCTAGTAAATCCTAATAGTAAAAAACGAGTGGCTCTTGCATGTAGACTTTTAGTAGATTATATCAGTATTATGTAAAATTATTTTAAATAATTACTCAACACTAGGTAAAAAATGCAAAAAAGAAAATTAAATGAATTTAATTTACCCAGCAATCTGTATAGGTACATCTAAATTTGCAAAAAGATTTACATTTTTGAACACGATTTTAGAAGGTGGTTTTATTTTAGTTCTTGTTAATGTTGATTTAAATAAATTGTTGCCTGCAAACTTGATTTTTATTTAAACATAAATCTAATTTCAGCATTTATTAACCCTTAAAAACAAATTATGCAATAGTAATTACTATTATAATATGTATTTTAAACATTGGGTGATCCACACCATTTTGTCATAAACGAAATAACATTGGAAACATTTGATTCTGGTGCCATCTTTGCTCCCATTTTTAATTTAGACCACACGTCTCTATTCGCTTGAAGCTGGGTTTTTGAGAAAGTCACCGCCTGCTTTCTAACCGGATATCCGGTCACCAAACAAGGCGTTTCGCCCGATTGAAGCGAGCTCTCGTATAGTTGACGATCGTCCACAGGTAGAGTCTAAAAAGTTAATAAATTGATCTCTAAGGCTTTCGCGGTTATTTTCATTAGAAGTAAAAAAGTTTCCGGGTTTTAAGCCGCGTCTTATAGTGATTCAGTTTGACGTTTTTTCAGTTTTCTGAATACAGTAACATGGCTGTCAAACGTCGAACTGAACCTTTTTACTTCTAAAGTTATAAATTATTATTTTAAGTATATAAAAAAAATTGATTTACTTGGTCAATTTTTTGGTCCATGCTTATGGCCAAAATCCATTCTCGGATGCTGTCGTGTTCCTTTAAGTCTTCGCTTAGGTATAAGTGGCTTGGTAAAGGAATACTTGAAGGAAAATCGGTTTGAGCCAAATCCGAATGGTCAACTAGTTGGCCTTCCCCTTCCTCTATGGCTTCACATAAGTCCAAATAATGGTTTAGGAAAACAAATGCTTCAGATAAGCGCCCTTCTTCTTTCATATCTTTGCCTGGAAATGTTATGAGTTTAATGAAAATATTGTCTTTATGCAAAAAGTATTTACCTGCTTCATAAAATGCTTTATCAGCTGGTATAACATCAGTATATCTTAATAATGCTGTGCTTATTCTACAAGCAATAGACTTTAGAGATGAAACTTGCCTACATGAAGTTCTTAACGCATAATAATGACTTATTAACAACAAATTTCTAAAATGATATTTAGTCTCATTATTTGCTGCTTGTGTAACATCTAAACCTTCATTCTAAAAATCCAAAATATGGTATTTATTTCAATGAATAGGTATAAAGCCAAACCATGTCAAGTCAAAAAGTTTAAAAACCAAAGGTGATTTACATAGAAATTAAATGTGTAACCGCATTATGACGTTATTGCATTTTGGAGATTTAAATTGACCACCAAGAGGGTGATTTAAGTCATTTTGACTTTCTTATATTTTTATTTTTAAGTAAGGTCCAGTGGTCCAAAACTCCTTTAGAATATTCCTTAATAAAATTCACTGCTAGTAACGGAGACGCTAAGGAATTTTAGTGACAATGATTTTAATTTGACAACCAAGATTAAATAAAAATAACGATGACTGGAACTATACTTTTTTTTTAACTTGGCGAGGATTGATTTATTGCACTTAATTGTATAATTACGATTTCAAGTAGCATTTGCCTCAGCTGATTCCAAACAGTATAACTTTCGCCATTGTCCAATCCAGGTGTGGCAAAAATTTCGGTGGCAATATGATTGTAAATATTGAAATTCTGCGGCATTGCCGGGGCCCCATACGTAGCATACAAATTAAGACTTTCAATAATAAATCCATCTTTTAACAGTTTAGCAGCGTATAAAGCTACGTATTTATGAAGAATAGGTTTGCTTTGTGCTTTAGCTTTCTCAATGCACCTTGCCCACTGGCCTTGTTCTGCCAGTAGGTCCAAAGCTCCAATAATGTCTATAAAAATAAATATATTTAACAGGTTTAGTTTACTTTGTTGTTTAGATACTTACCAACGTCCGCAAGTTGCTCGACGTCGCCTTTCTTTAGCAGCCTATCTTTGTACTTGGTATCAACATAACTCTCATAAGCAGGCTCCAATTCCTTTGCCACTTTCCTAGCCTTATTCCAATCTTCTGCTACTATAAACGTATCTATGGCCTCCTTCATCATTTCCATGCTCACATACAATTGAGCTGCTATTTGGTACTCCCCAGCTTCGATTAGTCTAAAAAATACGCACATACATTCATATAGGTCTCTACTACCCAAAATAATCTAACCTCGGCGACAAAATCTTAATTATCTCAAGTGCTTCTTCGCCAAACATAAACTTATTGACCATATCCGCAGCCCTCAGCAATGCCCTTTTAACAATTGAAGCCTCTGTTATGTTAGTGTTAACTTGTAGCAAGCATTCTATAGCTTGCTTGTGTTGTCCCGCTAGTGCCCATTCGTTGGCCCTACTTAACAAGGTTTCAATATTTACGTCGGCAGTTTTGTGGTGATGTGAACTGCTGTACTCGGATTGTAGTGAAGGGTAAAGATGAGGTAAGTAATCTTTGCATACTCTTAATGCATCTACCCACATTTCTATAATGCACACAAATTATTAATATTATTTACAGCTTTGAAATGTTAACTAAAAAAACGTTTTGTTAAAAAACACTTTTTTAGAAAAAAATACGTTTTTTTAGAAAAAAAACAAATCGGTTTGTTTTTTCTTAATGAGCCGGCTAATATAAGGTAATATCGATATCTGTTACTTATTATAACTAATTGTAACAAAAGGGTACTTTCCCAAAGTTAACAGTACTAAAAACTAAAACCGTCCAGCTAAGCTAACCAACGATGATTTCTAATAGAAAACTCCCATTATTCTTGTGTGGAAGTATTTTGGTCCAACCTTGGAGATCGTATGCTACTATAGTATCTTTAATACACTCTAGATGGCGACACTTATCCATGTCGTAAATTTGTTGTTCTTTTTTGGGAAAAAACCGTGTTTTTTTAAAACGTTTTTTTTTCTTCAAGTTTCAAAAACAAACGTTTTAAAAAATTAATTAAAATGTTACCTGACGTTTTATATTTCTGCACAATTAATTCTGGCATTTGTGCTCGTAAGAGCAACACTTCAAACTCAGAATATTGCTTATCTTCGAAACATTGAAATGCTTGCGCTTGAAGAACTTCCGGAACCGAAGCTGGCTCGTAAGTCTCCGCTATCCTTAACGCGTTTATCCAGTTTTGTGCGTGAACGTACATCAAAATTGCTTCTTTGGGCTTTTCGGCCAAAATAAATTCGGCTTCGGCTTCAGAAAACTTACCGTCATCCTCTAGAGCCATTGCATACTTATAATGAACCTCATTTACCTAAAATGTATAGATTATAATGTAGGTAATAAAAAGTATTATTCGATTTTACTTTTTCTGGGGAATACTTGCATAATTGAAATGCGAACTCAAACTGATATGTTTCGCAAGAGTAATTAATGCATTGATCCAATATTCCATACTTATTAAGCAGCTTAATAGCTGAATCAATGGGCAGTGTTTTGGCCCACAAAAATGCAACTTGGTTCGCAGCTACTTGTCCTCCGTTTTGCTTGGCAACTCTGTAGGCTTCTTCCCACATGCTCAAAGTTCTGTACATGTTCATGGCCGCTTTCCATTCTCCTACTGCCAAGTAGTGGATCTCGGCTGCCCTGTATTTACCCTGACTTTCGAGTTGCTGACCCAAATGTAGATGTGTAGTTTGTAAGAGGTTAGGATGGTATTTTTCTACCAAACGCACCATGTTGTCGTATTGCTCGATGCGCTTGTACATAGCTATTGCTAAGTCTGGTGAATCGATTGACAGGTATAATCTTTCAGCATCTCTAAATTTTCCGGCTTCTTCTAATTGCTCGGCGTGCTTGATGTACATGTCCGCTACTTCGTTTTGATCCAAATACCGTGAAGCTATCGAGTGTGCTTTTTCCCACTGCCCAGCTTCGTTATACATATCGACTGCTACTTTATACATACCACAAGCCATATACAGTTTTTCTGCAGTGGAATAATCTCTAATGGTTGAAAAATAGTTGGCTATGAGCTCGTAATACTTTTGTACGCTTTCTGGCTCATCTATAACTTTAATTATGTGAACAGCTTTTTTCCACTGCCTTGCATTAACAGCAGCATCTAGTGCTTTTAGAGTGCAACCAGCTTCGATGTAGTGGCTTATGGCTGCATCCATTTGTTTATTTTCTACCAAACTATCGCCCCATTCTTCTTCAAGTTGAACAACTTCATTTGGATTTACGTTTCTTGCAAGATCCACTGCTTTATTCCATACCTTACCTTTTCTGTAACATTCCATTGCTAAATCGCATTTATCGAGTTTTTCATATATTTCGGCTGCAGCTTCATAGTGATCATTTTTAAGCAAGCTTTTCAATACATTTGCTACAACGCTATGATCATCCATTAGCTCAGAATGTTGTATCATCAGATTTGGAATACGAAGTAGTTTGTTTGATTTTAAGTACATGTTTAATGCTTCCTCGTATTTCCCTTGGCTTTCTAAAACTTTACCGACTTTTTCAAATTGCCCCGATTCCATTAAGGTAGACATGTGCTCTTCTTTAAGCTCTTTAAGTTTATTGTATCCTCTTTGGTCTGCCAATCTTAAAGCTTCATCCCATTTGTGCAATTTTTTATACATATCTAGTGCACTCTGGATATGTCCTTGTTCCAAGTAAATATTTTCCGCGGTGCTCAAGTCTCCATTTAAAATTGATAATCGTGCCCATATCTCTGGACAATTATTAGGACTATCGTTAAAATCTTCCGCGTATTTTTGTCCAATTATTGATGTTTCATGAAGATAATGCGCAACTGAAACGTTTCCCATTGCCGCATAACACCTTTCAGCAAGCATTAGATTTTGCTGTTTAACAGCTATTAAAGACAAAGTGTGCCACATTGCTTCAGCTTCAGATGATTTTTCCATCGATTCCAGAAACAGAACCGCTCTACTGTAATCGTTATCGTTTATTGCAGTCCCTTTAAAATGTAATACAAAATTACCTTATATTATAAATTCTATAAAATTTATAAATTACCAAATTCTACCAAACCTTCATCAAGCTCGATATTAATGACGTTGTTACCATCCACACATACAGCCTCGGTTTTTCCATTGTTTCTTATTATGTCGGTTACGTCACCCTTAACTGTCATTATAGTTGGATTTTCTGGTAATTCGATGTTATACCATATCGTCAAGTTAGTGCCTGCTTGGGCTACAGCTACGTCACTTCCTTCCACCCATTGCACAAATCCAACTTCCGTAAAAATAGTTTGCTTGGCATGAGTGTGTGTATCAATTAGAACAAGCCTATAAAAAAGATATATTTATATATACTAAAATTGTTCAAGTCATTGTAGTTACCTTTGTTTTTTGTCTCTAAACAATAGTTTGTGTCCAGTTTCGCTTAACTCAAGCCAATCAATCTTCGAATCGTGGTTTATTTGTCCAATCATAACTCCAGTAACAAGATCTACTATGCAAACAGTTTTGAGATCCATCAAATAAGCGAATTTCTTGTTATCGATATTTTGGTTCCTTTCGTTTAATCTGACACTAATTAAATGAGGATTTGCGAACTCGGTTCTTACAGAATATAATATGTCATTATCGCCGTACTCGATCAAAGTTAGCTCGCCTGCGTTAAAAACCAAACAGACTGTGGAGTTTTCGAAGTAAAATTTCTCGTGGCGACCAGAATTATTCCACGGAACCTTAAAGAATATAAATGCAAAACCACAAAAATACAAGGGACAAATGTACCTCACTAAGTAGATTTCTTATTAAATCGGCCACCAACAAAGTTTCCTCTGTCCTAGCAACTAAGTATGAATCTTTACCCATTATTTTAACGTCCTCTATCTCGCCACCATGCTGAGATCTTAAGATTACACCTCTTTCGCTTGAATTTAAGGGTTGCACCAGAACCTGACTTGGTCCAACATAAGTAATTTCGAATTTGTCTTTCCAAACTGTACGTTTTAAGACTAAAAATTTGATTTTCATACAATTTGCCTTTTTAGATTAATATTAATATAAAATAAAGAACGAGTGGATTTTAAATAATTTAGTTATTTTATGTGTATACCTTAAATCGTTTCCGTGGACTTTTTACCGTAAAAAAGTCAATAATTTTTGTTTAACAAAAAAAGCAGGACACAAATTGAATGAACACTATTTCCCATAGAATAAGATTATTGACTTTTTTTTTAATTATTATATTTCCATGTGATAAACATTATTTTTTGTGCCTCGTCCAAAATTGAAGGAGAAAATGGATCAAACCTTTTATGTAGGTAAGTAAATACATAGACTCAATCCCATTTTTAGCCTGTTTATTATAGATATATCCTTAAAGATTGGACTTTTTTTGGTATCTAGACCCTGGTTAAAATGTCACATATAGGATTGTATGCCGTTTCTATTAAATTTATGGTGTGCCTATGTAATTTCCTATAAATTTTCTAACGGGCCGTATCCGGAAAAAAACCATGGACAAATGCACATATTCCGTTAGCGCCCGATAGATTATTTTTATGGGGTATTTTAAGCAGGGGACTTTTGTCTACATATATGTATATGTATATTAGGGTGTGCCAAAAAATCTCGATATTTTTTTTTCTTGCTCTCCACCCAAAATATCGTAGAATATGTCCGAACAAATATTCTGTTAAAAGCGGAGCTCATAATTTCAATTTTAAGAGGTCCCTCATCGAATCTGAAGTTTTGCCGCTTAAATAACACAGAAAACTGACTTTTTTACCTTATTTATTCTTGCAACCTAGGAAGATTTTTTTTTTTCGTAAAATCCATGACTAATTCTTACAAAGCATTAAATTTGGACAAAAAAATCTTATTAAGCCGAATTTCTATTTTCATTATTTAATTTTTTACATAGCTTTAAATTTAAAGATAATAATACAAAAATGATGACTTTATACGCCTGTAACTTTTAGAATATTGACGATATAAAAAATTCGCCTAAAACTTTTTTGTGGTCCATCAGACAAGCTAAAAAATTACCATTTGACTTTTTCGTCTAACTTCAATAGTTTAGCTGAAAAAGGCAAAAAACGTAAAATTTTAAATTTAAAGCTCTGTAAAAAATTAAATAATGAAAATAGAAATTCGGCTTAATAAGATTTTTTCGTCCAAGTTTAATGCTTTGTAAGATTTGGTCATGGATTTTATGAAAAAAAAATTTCTTCCTAGGTTGCAAGAATAAATAAGGTAAAAAGGTCAGTTTTCTGTGCTATTTAAGCGGCAAAACTTCAGATTCGATGAGGGACCTCTTAAAATTGAAATTATGAGCTCCGCTTTTAACAGAATATTTGTTCGGACATATTCTACGATATTTTGGGTGGAGAGCAAGAAAAAAACTATTTCGAGTTTTTTTGGCACACCCTAATGTATATATATGTAATATTATGTATATATATATATAGTCGTAAGTACCTACCATATATGGTCATAGTTATAATAGGGTGGAGCATAATGTCGAAAATCAGTGTAAAACCATTTTTACTATAGAGATAAGTCACTAAAAGCAACTATCCCGTTAAAAAAAACGATTTTAGCTTTTTTAGTTAAAAATTACTTTGAAAATTTCAGTAGCATGACGTCACCATACTACGTTTACAGAACGAGCCTCGTTCAACGAGGGCTGCTTTGGGTAATTCGTCGTTCCTTAAGGAATAATTAATTAAAAAACGCTGTAAGTTAAAGCCTGCATCGTTTAAATGTGGCAGACAATGTGGGTTTTAAGTTAAATCTAAGTTGACGAACTTTCATTATCTTAATTTTATGTACACGACAATCTAAATTTAGTTCTTAAAAATTTTGTGAAACGGGGGAAATTTGTTTTAATAACAAAGTCGTATGCGTACTACGCATTGCGTAGAATTCAAATAGGCAATATAAAATTGCATGTCGATCCCAACACTATTGTAATTATTTTCTATCTGGTTTTTAACACAGACCATAATTGTTAGTAGGTACAAGGGAAAGTTTTATATTTTAGTGTTTTTTTTTTAGATTTTTGTATGATTAACAAATTTAAATTACCTGATTCAAATTGTAATACTGCGCCACACATCCCACCACAAGTTACTTTGGAACCATCCCTTTTCCAAGCTAAGGCAGTAACTGTATAAAGATTTTTAATTTCTTTTGGAGGTGTTTCCTCCCAAATCGACTTCCTAGTATTCCAAATATAAATACGTAAACGGTCAAAACTTCCTATGGCAACTGCCTAAAATATACTTCTTTAGACAAATTCAACTTGCAAATGATTTCAGAATTACTTGGCCACTGGGACTGCACACAGCCAGATTTAAATCATACTCGGTCATATTTTTACTGTAATCGAAATTCTTTGCGAGTTTTCCGTTATTATTATAGACAGAAACCCTTTTGTCGCATCCCCCAACAAAAACGTATCCTTGAGGCCACGCCAAGGCATATGGAGGCACCGAATGCAAAATAATCCTACCTTGTGCCTCGTCTTCAGCATTATCGTGTGTTATAAAGAATCGTATCACATTGCCGTCCATGTGCCCTGAGAGAAACCCTGTACCCTTAGAGTTAGAAGCCAGGGATACCACCAAGCTGTCCGATGCGAATAAACTCTGAGATTTGTTCGATTTTATTTGAAGGGCTCTTACTTTTCCATCTACTAGGCCTATTATGATAGGCCCTGTTAGAAGCCATAATAGACATGTTGCTGGGGATGGTTGAGGGAATTTATTACAAATTGCCTAAAAATCATAATTTTATGTCCAAAAAACCATCAAGTTTCTCTATACTGGTGCGCATGCAAACCCTGCTGAAAATGACGGATGATTGCGGATATAAATTCTTCGTCAAAACCGGATAAAAGCAGATGATTGCGGGTATAAATTCTTCGTCGAAGCCGGATAAAAGCAGATAAAAGCGGGTAAAAATATCATCTGATAACATCTGCTTTTGTCCGCATCGCTATATCCGCGAACACCCGGTTGGTTGGGTTTTATGTCCGGTTAGTGCACCCCCGCAATCATCTGTTTTTAACCGTCTTCACTGTGTTTCGTTTATATCTGAATTTGTCCGGAATCATCTGCAAACGTCTGCTTACGTCTGGTTTTATCCGCGATTACCTGCATTTTTTTGTCTGCTTTTATCCGCGAACATCTGCAATCACCCGCGAAAATCTGCCTTTACCCGCGAACGTCTGCTTTCATACGGTTTCACCCGCAAACATGCTTTTATCTGCGAACGCCTGATATCATCCGGTTAGTGCACCACCGCATTCACCCGCAAACATCTGCTTTTATCCGCGAACATCTGCTTTCATCCACGAACATCTGATTTTATCCGCCAACATTTGCTTTTATCCGCGAACATCTGATTTCATCCGCGAACATCTGCAGTCACCCGCGAACAACTGCTTTTATCCGCGAACATCTGCAATCACTCGCGAACATCTGCAATCAGCCGCGAACATCTGCAATCACCCGCAAACATCTGCTTTCATCCGCAAACGTCTGGTTTTATCCGCAAACATCTGTTTTCATACGGTTTCACCCGCAAACATGCTTTTATCTGCGAACGCCTGATTTCATCCGGTTAGTGCACCCCCGCAAACATCTGCTTTTATCCGCAAACATCTGATTTTATCCGCCAACATCTCATTTTATCCGCGAACATCTGCAATCACCCGCGAACATCTGCTTTCATCCGCGAACATCTCATTTTATCCGCGAACATCTGCAATTATCCGCGAACATCTGCTTTCATCCGCAAACATCTCATTTTATCCGCGAACATCTGCTTTTATCCGCAAACCTCTGCTTTCATCCGCAAACATTTGTTTTTATCCGCAAACATCTCATTTTATCCGCGAACATCTGCTTTCATACGGTTTCACCCGCAAACCTGCTTTTATCTGCAAACATCTGATTTTATCCGCAAACATCTGATTTTATACGCAAACATCTGATTTTATCCGCAAACATCTGCTTTTATCCGCATTCATCTGCTTTTATCCGCAAACATCTGATTTTATCCGAAAACATCTGATTTTAATCGCAAACATTTGATTTAATCGCAAACATCTGCATTTATCCGCAAATATCTGCTTTTATCCGCGAACATCTGCAATCACCCGCGAACATCTGCTTTCATACGTTTTTACCCGCAAACACGCTTTTATCTGCAAACGCCTGATTTTAGAGTTATAAAGTTGAGTGCCGTGAACGGCTAACAACCAGTTAGTTAAAGCTCAGTAAAATTTGACAAAGCAGTTAAGCTAAACTAAAGTATACACGAGAAAAAGGAAAACAAAAAGCGCGAATGAAACCATGGTCTGCAGACGTTTGCGTACGAAACAGGACCGAAATGGACAAAGGAAATGCAGGCAAACCGAACGCGGATGAAAGCAGAGGTTTGCAATTAAAAGCAGATGTTTGCAGATGTTCGCGGATAAAAGCAGATATTTGCGGATAAATGCAGATGCTTGCGGATAAAATCAGATGTTTGCGGATAAAAGCATATGTTTGCCGATAAAAGCAGATGATTGCGGATAAAATCAGATGTTTGCAGATAAAAGCATGTTTGCGGGTGAAACCGTATGAAAGCAGATGTAAGCGGATAAAATGAGATGTTTGCGGATAAAAACAAATGTTTGCGGATGAAAGCAGAGGTTTGCGGATAAAAGCAGATGTTCGCGGATAAAAGCATATGTTTGCCGATAAAAGCAGATGTTTGCGGATAAATCAGATGTTTGCAGATAAAAGCATGTTTGCGGGTGAAACCGTATAAAAGCAGATGTTCGCGGGTGATTGCAGATGTTCGCGGATAAAAGCAGTTGTTCGCGGGTGACTGCAGATGTTCGCGAATGAAATCAGATGTTCGCGGATAAAAGCAGATGTTGGCGTATAAAATCAGATGTTTGTGGATGAAAGCAGATGTTCGCAGATGATAGCAGATGTTCGCGGATAAAAGCAGATGCTTGCGGGTGAATGCGGGGGTGCAATAACCGGATGAAACGTATGAAAGCAGACGTTCGCGGGTAATATTTATACCCGCAATTGCAGATAAAAACCGACATGCCGGGTAAAATCAGATATGTCGGATGAAAACAGATATAAATGGACATAAAACATGCTATAACATGTTTTTTTATCCGCAATCATCCGATATTACCCGTCTTTTTCAGCAGGGAAGAAAAATATTTATGAAATAATTTAACTATAAGGTATATAGGGGTATTAAAGGTACCTATATAGGTATATACTTTAAAATAACAAATATTCGTTTTGTATTATTATATCGATACTTTTCTCTCAGAGTGTCGCAAGTAACTTAACTCGAAATTTCGCCTATAGGTTTTATAACAAGTAAATAGCTATAATAATTATTACTAACTATTTACTTGTTATAAAACCTTTAGGTTATATATATTTTAAAACATAATTCAAAACAAAAAATGTTAAAATTCTCGAAACTTTAGTTAAGTAGATATATGTTGCTTGCGATACTTTGGCACAAAGTCATCGATATGTTTAAATTTATTTGATCCCGTCAGTGGCGGCCCGTCAGGGGAGGCAGGTGAGGCAGTGCCTCATCATAGAGAATTAAAAAATTAAGTATAATTTAAATATTTTACTTTCTACAATATACTATAAATTTTTAATATTTGGATTACATGAATTGTGAAATAGTCAATAAAATTGATTGATTTTATACGTGGAATACCCAGCAACATTTAAATTATTTGAATTTGAAACGACCGCAATTTTAACTAATATTTATAGCTAGGTGATTGTCTCAAAAGCATGCCTGAACTAATTTAGACTCACGATTGGCGTTAGCCTTGTTGTCTCGTTTTATTACAATGCGATATCATAGTTGTGTCCTTCTCTCATATTAGCATACGCGAGGCAGGCACGCCTACATCCAAGGAAATAAGCAGGTGTTGTGGCAACACTGTTGCGGAATTTTAGATAAATTATACTTCACACGTTTTATAAATTCAATAATAAATCGTATAGAAAAATAATATTATTTTTCTTATAATAAATCGATTTAATCGAAATTATATTTCTATTCTATAATAATACAGAGACAACATGGCGACGAGTGAGCAAAAGCAAAATAGTTCTCCGGAAAATTTAACGTGTAAAGTGTGTATTGAAGTGATAGAAAATAGTGACAAAGGTTCAGTGAAATGTAGTGGTGCTTGTGCCTTAACTTTCCATGGGGCATGTATAAATATAAAAGATTACGAACTAAGATTACTGAATTCAAAAAACTGTAATGTGTTATGGTTCTGTGATATGTGCAAGACTGCAACATTGGGTACAATTGTGAGTCTCATCAATAATCTGAAGTGTATAATTGAAAAACAATCATTAGAAATACAACAACTAAACGACAAAATGAATAATTTAAATATTATTCATGATAACCATAATGTAAGTTCTAAGAAAAAACCCAAAACAACAAATGATCAACCATTATTGCAAACCGCCACCTGCAAATCAATAGCACAATCAATAACCAATGAAGTAGAACACAATATAAACCAAATTCCTGTTTCTACCAAAACTATAGATGACGCTGAATCCGTTTCAGAATCGGACGATAGTTTTACCACTGTAGTAAACAAAAAAAGTAAAAGAAAAAACAAAAACAAAGTTATAATTGGAACCCTAGATGAGGAAGAAACAAAAATAAAGGTTGTTGAATATAAACCTCGCACCTGGATCCATGTATCAAGATTTGAAAAAGAATTTACGGCTGAAAAATTAAGAGAATATATAAAAAAGAAGACGACTGTAGATAGCTGTGCCTGCTACAAACTGGAGTCAAAGAATGAATTTTCTACGTACTCATCTTTTAAAATTGGTGTTTCTAAGGAGCATGAAGACTTGTTTTTAAATCCAAATACATGGCCTAAAGGCATTGCTATAAGCCATTTTATTAACTTTTTTCGTTTCAAAAAAAACTATAAACAATAAAAACCTTCCAATAAACATTTTTCACCCGAAGGTTCAGTCATTAGAAAACAAAAAATCAGAAATTAAAACTACCTGCAGAAACAAAACGACTTTTTGTAATACATTTAAAATCGTACATATTAATTGCCAATCAATTGTAAACAAGATTACCCAAACTGAATTATTGGTAAATACTTATCAACCACAATTTCTTTGCCTCTCAGAACACTGGTGCAACTCGGACAATATTAATACTGTTAATTTAGTTAACTATAAAATAGCTAGTCACTTTGTTAGACAAAACCACCGCCACGGAGGTGTTTTAATTTATTCTTTTAAAGATACTAAATATGATAGCCTAAATATTACTGAAAATATGTCAACTGAAATTCACTTTGAATGTTGTGGGCTGTCTTTTGAAATCAATTCTGAGAGGTACTGTTTGGTAAATATTTATCGTTCTCCTGTAGGATCAATTGAGATATTTTTGAATAAGTTAACTTACTTATTAAAAAATATAGTAAAAAAATATAAATTTGTAATATTATGCGGAGATTTAAATATAAACTATTTAAAAATATCCAGGGATAAAGATCTTTTTATAGATGTTTTGGAAAGTTTTGCTTTAAATATTAAAAATATTGAACCATCTAGAGTTTTTAGAAATGTAAATGGAATTCAATCGACCACGAAAATAGATTATTTTATTACAAATATCCCCACCCAATGTTATGATGAAAGTGTTTTTGATATACAACTAAGTGATCACTTTGGTCTAT